GGCCGTCTTTGTGCCTCGTGAACCTGGAGTCTCGTCTGATGAGGATGATGGGTACTTGATATTCTTTGTGCATGATGAGAAAACAGGGTACTCTCTCTCTCTCTCTCTCTCTCTCTCTCTCTAATTATGATCTTCTGCCCCCGACAACATTCGGTCGCTATCGCTGCAGGAAGTCCGAAGTCAATGTTATCGATGCGAAGACGATGTCTGCAGAGCCGGTGGCTGTCGTGGAGCTCCCGAAGAGAGTTCCCTATGGATTTCACGCCTTCTTTGTCACAGAGGTACGCTTTCCAGTTACCCCTCTTGAAGAGAGGGAGAGAGAGAGAGAGCTTTCACTGAACCCTGTGAAAGCCTCTCCTTTCTTCATGATTTTGACGGGATTGCTAAGTGGGTCTTTCCATTTTGGACAGGAACAACTGGAAAAGCAGGGGAAGATCTGATCAGATAGAGTGACGGCCAACCTCTCAGTCATCTCTCTCTCTCTCTCCCTCTCTCATCAGTGGGGAATTTACGGTCGGCCAAGTTTGCTTGAATCAAAGCCTCGGCATATCAATATATCATAGTTTTGTGTCAAAGTTCTCTAAGAAAATATTAGATATTATCTGAAAAGGTGGGATGTTCAGAAACCCATGCATTCACTCGATCTTTATAGAAAAACTTTGGAACATTCATGATATATATATATATATATTTCTTTGTGCATGTGTACACGGCGGAGCAGACAACCTGATAGACGAAAACACCAACTCAACCAGGCACGCTACCACAGAGGACGAAGCCCAACCAAACCTTGAAGTTCCACTAAATCAGTGGCCAAGAAATATTCATTGAAAGCCCTAAGATTTCAAGACTATACTGACAAGAAGTCGAGAACCATCCTTGTCAATAGAAAAGGCCCCCATAACTTCATCTCGCAAAATATCATTATTTAACTTTAGCTACCTACACAGATTACCCCACATTTGCATATCACTACAGGAACATTCAAAATGGTAAGATTCATCAGTCTCTCATCTCCTGAAATCAAGGCCTCACAGTGAATGGTAATTCCTTTGATATTCTCTCCAAAGATGGTCAATATTATGCTGGGTCTTAAATGGATGAGCATTGTAAAATTGATTGAATTATGCTTTTTGTGGTTTGATTAAGCCCAATCTTTTGGACACTATTTTTAATTTTTTATACCATAATATGCTTTTTCTCATGCATGAGAGCTTTAAGCTTTAACATTCTATGCTAATTCCTTTCACTTTGGTAAATCTATAGAAATTAATATCCTAAAAATAAAATTTTGAAATTTTAAATCCTTTTTCCTAAGAAATTAAGATACATTCTCAAAGTGATAAATCTTAGAAAAAGATTAAAAAACATTATTAATTAAATCCATAAACTACATGATGTAGATATAACTAAGTTTAAAGTTATTTATACATATCTTTTGACCTTTGCTCTAATATGATGAGATATAGTAATTCATGCTTATTATAATTCATTAATGTAAAAATCAAAGAGATAATTAATTAATTTGTAGTGATAAATATTTATCAATATCTATCACAGGAATAGATTTCCCCAAACCCAATCAATAGTAAAAATTTATCATGATAAAAAAATAAGATTTCAAATTTTTTGTAGACAATTATGTGCATCTTTGTCTATGTGCTTACTAGTTACAATCTCTTACTCATTGCTTCTTCTGTTCTTGTAAGATTATCAAGCACATTGACTAGTTGCCTTTTGATTAGCTATTCATCCTACTTCATGCACTCAATTAGTAATTCATGTGTCATAGTTGAAGTGAATATTGCCTAGTCTTTGATATCTTCTACTCCTTTGTTGCTTGATCAAGATCTACTAACCATTGATATGTTGAATATTCTTGACTTTCACCAGGCCCTAATGGTGTCAAAGTTGTGATCCAATAAAATGATCTACCCACTTTGAAGAATGCCCAAGAAAAAGTCCATAATATCCACCACTAATTCCTTTTCCAGTAAGGTCAAAACTTATAAGTCAACTACAATAAAGCCACTCTTGACTGCATGTTGATTAGTCAACTACTTCTAACTAAGAACCACATTGGTGATGAGACAATAGTATTCAAAGGTTCATGACTTGCAACAAAGTCACATCGGATGTGAAGCATAAAACAAACTTTTGGCACATAAATTACAACATATAGGATTTTAAATGATGACCAAAGTTAGGAGTGAAATGATGTAGGATTGGGGCCCAATCTAGAGTCAGCCGGTTCACTAGAGGACTCAAGTTCAGCCCAAGCAGCTTTGGGCATAGAAGACCACCGGAGATCATGATGCCAATGCATCAGGTCAGCAGCTGAAGATTTTATTTACTATTAACATGTTCTTTCTTTGTTTAAGCTTTCCATTACTTTACTTACTGTGCTTTGCTTTTTAAGGTATTTAAAAGGGCCCATCTCGTCTTTGTTGGAGAACAGTTAGTGATTGATTTCTTTTACCTTCACATAAGCTCCACTGTTTGTTGCTGGCTGTGAACCTCATCGCCCCAGTAGGGTTGGTTGTGAGGACCCCGTGCTCCCAGTTGAAGTGTTATCGCCATGTTCATTTCCTTCGACTATCACTATTCGTTGCCGTTTCCATTGGCCCGTCTTCCATCTGCCACTGCTGTTGTTACCCCTTCCACCAGCCACTATCACCACCATCTCACCCCAATCACCCCCATCGGCACTGCCCTCCTTTGCCATCATCACCGCTCTACAACTCCCTGTGCCCTACGGTTCCACCTACACCGCTGCCAACAAATCTCCGCCGCTGCTGACAAATCAGCTAGAGAGGAGAACCCTAGGTGGTCAGCTATCTTCCAAATTTTTGTCAAGTTTGGGCCAACTATTTCCAAATGCATTGTAGATAGTGGTAGTAGTATTAGTGCCATATCGCAAGATGTCATCACTAAATTAGGATGCTAATGACAGATCACCCTAATCCTTATTAAGATATCATGGGTGAACTCCACACATATTTTGTCTAACAATAGTGTTTAGTCTTACTTGAGGTATTGATGCCTATGAGGATGACGTCCGTTGTGTAGTACCAATGGATGTTGGTTGTTATTGTATGACGGTATGATTCTATGACTAAGATGTCACATAGACAGGTAGAATGAATGCATGTTCGTTCACATACAAACTTCTACCTCCATTACACCCCCCCTTACCTTAAATCTTATTAGTGCTCATACCCTTCAAAAGGAATTCTAGGAAGGATACCTTGTCATGGCTTGCATTAATCATGGACGATTTACACCAATGATTGCATTTAAACTTTATGCTACAGGGGCACGGCCATTCAAAATTATATTTTAGACCTTTTCGGTAGGCTTTGTTATTAGCTCTACTTTTAATATTACAGATCTTATTACTTATCACGGACCACCTAATGTACCTACTGAGATGTTTGACCCCAACCCCACTCCTTCAAGTGACACCACACCTAATTTTCTATCAGCCATTTTTCCTCTAGCATACATTTTACAGAATTGGGCAGGCAGGCTGAAGATTTTGTTTCCTATTAGCATGTTCTTCCCTTGTTTAAGCTTTCCATTACTTTACTTACTTTACTTTGCTTTGCAAGGTTTTTAAATAGGCCCGTCTCGTCTTCGTTGGAGTACAATTAGTGATTGATTTTTTTACCTTTGCGGAAGCTCCACCGTTTGTTGCTGGCCGTGAGACCCCGTCGAGCCGATATGGTTGGCCGTGAGGACCCCCTGCCCCCCCGGTTGAAGTGTTATCGCTGTCTCCATTTCCTTCCACCGCCACCGTTCGTCGCCGTTTCCGCCGCCCGTCTTCCGTCCGCCACCGCTTTTGTCGCCCCTCCAACAGCACCGTCAACCTTCCGCCGGCCTCCGTCGACCACTCCCTCTATCGCCACCGTCACCTTTTTCCTCTATCACCGATCAGCCTTCCACCAGCCACTATCACCACCGTCTCGCCCCGGTCGCCCCCATCGGCACCGTTCTCCTCTGTCATTGTCACTGCTCCGCCGCTCCCTGTCCCCTACGGCTCCGCCTACGCCGCCGCCGCCGACGAATCTCCTCCCGGCCTCCAATGCCCTCATCTCCTCTCTCCTCCCCTATCGCCCGACGCTCCGGTTCGTCCGCCCGCTCCCCCGCCCACCCCCGACGCCCCGGCTTATGGAATCCTCTGCTGGTTCGGCGCGATCCGAATGGTTAAGGCATACGGACCGACGAGCCACTGTTGGGCTCATTAACGGGTTATTCCTCTTCCGCCCACCGGGTCGTTCTGGGTCGGGTCCGTACCCGCTGGCAGATCTGACGGGTCCGAACCATAGTCGACCGGCAACCACCCCCCCTTCTGCCTGGTCAACGGACAACTATATGAAGTCAACGGCCAACAGCTGATTGGGTCAACGGGTAACGATCGACCCCCTGTGAACCGGATCTCTTTGGTGACTTCTCTCCTCCACTAATCATCTCACTTCTTACGCTTGGTATTCCCTGCTCTTTTAATATATCCTTCTTGTCATCGTCGCCTAAATCGCCCGATCCTAGCCCCGTTTATGTTACTGTGGATGATTTTGAGCCAGACATGGACTCATCCTTCTTCTATTTCTGATAGTGTATGTGATTTCTGCATCGTTTTATCTGATTTCTATTACGTTCTCATTATCATCCCCATCATGAAGCGGGTAGGCTATAATCTGGCTCCAATGAGAAAAATGGGTACCATGTGCCCTCTCTCTTTATCGGGTTACTCTCTCTCTCTCTCTCTCTCTATCTCCCTCTCTCTCTCTCTCTCATATCGTTGACCCACTCTCTTTCCTCCCTTGAAAAATAATTATTCGATCACCAACAATGGAAGGGGGTTCCATCAGGTACATGATGAGGTTCCATTCTCACGCCGAGGTTAGGGCAATAACATGATAAATAAATTTTCATCTGCTTGTACGAGGTATAATCAATGAAGTTGTTTTCTCCCTCCTCCAGGGCGGAAGATGGCATCGTCAGGAGGAGCACCTCGATGGGACGATGGTGCCACGTTTAGACAAGTTGACGTTGCGGCAGAAGCTCTTGGCAAATGCTCCTCTCGTCGTGACGAGGTTGATGTCCTGCAGCCTTATCCCTCGGCAAGGAACGATGCGGCTGCAGTCGAAGGTCATGGCCACCGCGGTTGCGCTTGTTCCACTCACGTTCCTGTAGGTCACTCCGCTCACGCCGACCGCCGATTTCTTGAAGTGGGAACGGAAGATCAGGGTTCCGAACTCGGCGAGAAAATGAGAGTGAGAGAAAGAGAGATAGAGAGACAAAAACAGAAAGAAAGAAGAGAGAGAGAGAGAGAGACGAAGGAACAGAGAGGTAAAGGGTGGGTGCTAGCATCTTCCACCTGTTCATTGCAGGGCTTGGAGGAGTCGCAGTAGTTCTGGTCAATGATTATAGGGTTCTTCACCTTGTCCATGACGATGTTCATGAAGGTGATGTTTCTGGCGTACCCTTTTCCACCCTGAACGGCAAGTATCGGTGGACGCGGTCGTCGCAGTGTCAGTTCGCGGAGCGCGAGTGAATTCTGAATGGGGTGTCCTTTAGATGGCGTTACCTGCCAGGTCTTGATCCGGACTCCGTTTGTGGTTCCCTCCAGCCGCGCCGTGTCGACCAAGACGTCGGAGACTGTGTGTTCCGCACCGTTGGCTCCAAGGCTCCCGATACTGTCAGCGACGCGGAGAATCGTCAACAGGGAATAGGGTAGATGGTGTGGGAGAAACGGTCTGGAGAGGAGGACGCCACAAGCAGATGCCAGCACGTCGAGGGTAGATGTGTGTACCTAATTCCGTGGCCCGGTCCGCAGACGATGTTGGTGGCCGCAATGGAGTGTGACCGGCTGACGATGGAGATGCAATCGTCGCCTACAGGGACGAACTCAAAGCCAAGTCACAATCCACATTCTTCCCGCTTCTAGGATTGAGCATGCCAAAGAAGAGGAGGCGGAGGATGGACCTGTCCTGATGACGCAGTCGCTGATCTTAACGTCGGTGCTACCAGAGACGTGGATTCCGTCGGTGTTGGGACTGTTTCCGGGGGCGGAGATTGTCAGTCGGGAGATCTGGACGTTGGCGCACTTTGCGAAAGTGACGTGCATCTGCTGGGCGTTCTTGAACCTCAGATTGTTCACGGTCAAGCCGCGGCAGGATCGGAACGTCAACGCCTGCACGTGGTCAACCTCACTAATCAGCTCGCAAAAACCAGAGAATCCACCAACTGAAAGAGTTGACCGTATTCCAGAGCGTACCGTGGGTGCACCCTTGCAGGGCTGCAACATCACGCCGAAGAAAAATCAGAAGGCGAGTCAGTGAGCTGCTAGAGATTAATTAAGCCGAAGGTAGAGAGTTTCCACTAGCTGTGCGGTAGTCGCCCTAGCGGAGAGAGTGAAGGGTTCGTACCTGTGCGGAGTCGAGCTTGCAGGAGACCTTCCACCACACATGCCCATTGCCGTCGATGGTTCCGCCGCCCTCCAACCTGAGGCCGTCGACCTTGGTGAACTTCATCCAGAGACTGCGACGGGTTCCGTCCCAATCTGATATCCTTCCGGAGGCGAGAATCGTTCCCTTGATCTGTCGGTGAAATTTGAAACATAGAGCAAGTCTAAGGAAGAGCGACGCGATACGATTTTGATGCGAGGGGAGCTTCCGGGTAGGCGGATGTGTCTCACCGCTACGGTGATTGCAGACTTGCAGGGACCGGAGAAGGTGACGGGTTTGAGTCGGTAGGCCTTCCCCTCGGGGACTAGCATTGTGACAGGCGTGGGGGAAGAGCAAGCCGCCTTCCAGGCAGCGGCGAACGCCTGCAGACAATGTAACCGATGGGCGAGTCCGAGAACGTTTAGAAGGAGATTCCCATCTGCGACAGAAAAGATTGTTGAACGGTCTACTACCTTGGTGTCGTTTGACGATCCTTCGCCTCGTGCACCGAAATCCTTCACGGTCACCACCGTACTTGCGTTCCCCAGAGTAGCCCACCTCCGTTCGTTGGCTGTCCCCGGAGACAGTTTCCTCACCGCGGAGGAGTCTGTGATGTCGAGACGGTTACGGAAGGAGGGGCCGCCGGAGAACGTCTGTTCCAGCTGAGAATCGCCCGGACGAAGGAGTAGCACGAGGGCGAGAATGAGAAGAAGCCATCTTCCCCGCCTACGCTCAAAAGGGTTTATCGTGTTTCTGGACGTGGACGAGTACGAGACAGGGAGATGGGGACACACAGAAAGCTTGACTTTAAGGAGAGCTGGATATTGGAAGTTCTTATTGGGGATTGCTGGTAGCTTGGCGCCGGTTGTGTTGAGCGACGAAGAAAGAAACGGAGCTGGGGCGTCCGAGGAAGGTAGCTTAAACCCAAACTCTTCCGTTTCTTGGGCATGTTCCTGGGATAAGGACGGAGAGATAGTAGTGGGATAGACAGAAGGGTCACCTCCGCGCCGCTGCCGCAGCCGGCGGTCCATCCGTCTTCCTCTATCTCCAGTCCCGTGCATGCGTCTCCGTGCCCAGAATCTGGAGCCTTGGTTCGTGTGATCACAGTACGACGAACCCACCTGAAGATTGTCAACGCCGTTAATACTTGACGCTCGAACCAGGTATTAATGGCGTGATGTCAGCGTATCCTACGAAACGGGAGCCCCTCCTGGCTTCCGTCAAACCAGAGAGATTTAAAACGTTTTTAATTCCCTACCCCAGCCAGCACGTGGCGACCTCCGCGGGGGAAAACGGCCGGCAGATTTACGCACGCCTCGGCCGAGTTGGAGTATGCTCCTCAATTCTCTCTTCTTATATCTCAGGCTCTAAGAAAACCTAATCTCCAACCATTCAACGTAAACAAAATGACAGGAGTTCACCGAATAATCAGTATTACCTTTGATGCTTGATCACGACCTAATAGTCAATTCTCTCTTTCTTCTTCTCGTTCTTGGTCTCCACTTATTCTCTCCTCGATATCAAAAGGTGAGCGCGGGGCGTGGATGATCTCTTCTTTCTCCGTCCTCTTCTTCGCTTCTCATCCAGCTTTCTCTTCACTGCAACCAGACGTCCTTCTCTTCTTATTTCGGCGAGAACCAAAAGATATCCTTCGTCGTCGTTCCCTTCCTCCTCTTCTGCCGATCTTTATCCGTAGGCTCTTCTACTCCCGTCGTTCTCCTGTTGTTTCCGTCGTCATCTCCTCCCACTGTTTCCGGCGAAAATCAGCAACCTTCTCGTCGTTCACATCTCTCGTTTTTCCGGCGAAAATCAGTAGGCTTCTCGTCGTCGAAATCTCTCGTTTCTCCGGCGAAGTATAGCGGGCTTCTTGGCGTCGAACTCGTCGCTTCTCTGTTCCGGTGCAGTGGAACATTCACTGATGGGTCGTCCAAAATACTTAATACTTCTGGTGAGAATCCCCCGCTCATTCTTCGGCGGTCGTTCCTGCTTTTCCGTACCTGTTTCTCTTCCCATTATTCCTCATTTTTCCAGTATTTCCGTCGCGATTTTTCCTCCGATCATTCCTCGTTCGTCCGTTGTTTTCCGTAGCTGTTTATCTTCATTCGTCCGAGAATTTCTCAATCCCGTTCATCCGTTATTTCAGGTCCTTAATATTCTATTTAAATCATGCCTAGTAATCAAAATAATTTCACCTTGTATTCAGGCCCAACAATCAAATCAATTTCATCATAAATTCAGGGCCAGATATCATTTTCACGTCTGTTAAACTGAAATAAATAACAACAATACGAAAATATTACGCACTATTATTCAATCAGAAATATCCCATCCTAGATGCGTTATTGATTAAAAAACATACAAGATTACATTTCGAGTAGGTTTTTATACCCCCTCTCATCTCACCAGAGAAATGTCCCCCTATTTCTCTCTATCCCTCCTCTCTCTCTCTCTCTCTCACACACACACACAATGCCTCGCAGAATGGGCGGTGTTTTGTATACAGAGAGAGAGAGAGAGAGGAGGGAGACCCATTAGGCGTAAAATCGTTTGAATCCTCGCTTTCAATTCTCCAGGTGACCCAGAAGGTGTAAAACCTCATTTTATTGGTAAGGACGGTGCTTATTTTTATGTTTGGGTGGTCCAGAACGAGAGCGCAGCGCAGTCGTACAATAATAGAAAAGATCCTAGAACCACCGCCGGAGCCCGAAATGGGAGAGGATCCCCTCTGTCGAAGAAGAGGAGCAGTCGAGTTGACGCCACGCGACGGCTCCGGCGTCCACAGGCGACGGGGCAAGACGACAGGAGGGGCCCTCTCTGTGTCGTCATTCACCAAGATCTCTTATCCCGGTAAATTATTCATGTCCACTCTTTTATGATCTCCAACCGTTGGGCCTTCTCCCAAGTGCTGAACTCTTCTGCCGTCATCACAGGCTGGGCGAGTTGCCTGCGTGAGGGAGGGGAGATCGGGCTGCGGAGATGGTCGTGGAGGAGGGGAAAGCGGTTCAAAGCATCGTTTCCGTGGAGCCGAAGCCGAGAAAGGGGGTCCTATCGGCGGCGGTGGAACTGCTGGAGAGGGTGGTTGTGTATATCACTGGTCACTCGGGCAAGCCCAACTACTACCTCTCCGGTAACTTCGGCCCCGTGCTGGAGGAGACGCCTCCCTGTAGAGAACTCAAAATCAGAGGGACCCTCCCGGTATCTCCTACGAATTTCTAGACCATTGAGAAAAAAAAAAGAAGAAAAAAGAAGCTGGAAGAAAGTAACTTATTCCATCTTTGTCACCGGCAATGAGCAGAATTTTCTTTCTCCCTGTTCTTTGGCCAGGAATGCTTGAATGGGGAGTTCGTCAGAGTAGGGCCCAACCCCAAGCTGCCTCCGGTGGCTGAATACCACTGGTAACTTTGTTGTCTTTGTGAAGAAAACCGCAATTGTTATTTCTGATTCCTTGCTAAGAGCTCATCTTTCATGCATGTAGATTTCCTTCTAGAAAGCAGTTGTTCAATTACCTTATTATGATGATAGCTTCTGTTCTTGAATTTCTTTCAGGTTTGATGGCGATGGGTAGGTGTTTTCAGAGTCCCTCCTGGAGAGAGCCTCATTCATCAAAGCTATATTTTTTCTCACCATGTGCATCTTTCTGAACAAAAATCTGCAGAAACCAGTTTGGGTTCTTTGCTTGTGGCCCCAAAAAGGATTTTTTTCTTTAATTCTTGCCATTTTCACCGAAAACGTTTTAAGAGTAAAAAAACATCGTGGATATTGAGATAGACTGATTGCTTTCTATTAGATTACCTACTTAGTTTAGACGGTACTAAATCGTATGATTGCGCTTGTGCTATGTGAGCTTCATTCATGTTACTAGAAACGGGCTTTGCATCTGATGGGACATATCAGAATAATCCTGACATTAGAATGAGTTGAACTAAACTGTGTCTATGCAAATGGAATCATCTTCGCTTATTATGGGTTTGTTCTGAATTCTGATAAAATTTATTAGAAGCTGATTGGGAAGAAGAATACTAAGTGGAAGCGCTTCTCTTGCTCACTGATGAATTTTATGTGCCTTTATGTGTTCTTAAAACGATGGTGATGAAGAATGATTCATGGGATCCGTATCAAAGATGGGAAGGCGAGCTATGTCTCAAGATATGTGCAGACTTCGCGACTTAAACAGGAAGAATATTTCGGACGGGCAAAGTTCATGAAGGTAATCTGGTTAAAAAAACGGTGTTTTCACGTCGATTAGCTTTCCTGTTTGGGATATCTTCCTAATAACATATTAGGGAACATTCTAATTTCTCGAACAGTCATAAATATTTTTTGTTCATTATTAAAATTGGAGAACATAATGAGGCAGAACTATCATAATTTCTAATGACTGATTATTAGGCACTAGTCTTCAACTTTTATCGCCTGTTCAATGTCTTATAGAGAAAACACTTTCATCGTGGTTGCTCTTTCATCATCAGGGTGGAGACCTGAAAGGATTCTTTGGGCTTTTTATGGTTTATATTTCTCAACTGCGAGAAAAACTGAAAATCTTGGATCTTTCATACGGAAGAGGAACAGGTAAGCTCAACGAGTATGCCTGATTAAAGTTCGTCTTAAAGCTGAGCTGAATCTGCTTCTCATTTTATTTTTTTAATTTTTGATCATTGGATCTCATGGTTTAGCCTGATTTCAGCCAACACAGCTCTTGTATACCATCATGGTAAACTCTTAGCCCTTTCAGAAGGTGATAAACCCTGTAAGCACCTTTCCATTTTTCTTCCTTTCTGTGAATTTCCTTCGAAAACATTAAATCCCTTAGTAAAAATTATATAGCTAAGATTTGGTCTAGTTGAATGAAGATTAATGGGACCTTTCCGATTTCCTCGAACAGATGTCGTCAAGATTTTGGAAGATGGAGATCTCCAGACACTTGGGCTGTTGGATTATGACCGACGGCTAGCACATTCCTTCACTGCTCATCCGAAGGTGGATCCATTCACAGGTGAGGGTTTGATGCTATCTCGTCCCAATGCCCATCGTCCACCTGAAGGTGATCAAGGCACTGCCTAGCAAGAAGTTTTTTATGATTCATACATGAGAGTCAACCAGGCAAGTCACTTGGCAATGCCAGGAAGGTGCTGTCACTGCGATAGCTGGTTGATCATCCAGCTCAAATTTCGTAAATTAAACCCAGATTGCAAGAACAAGTTAATTAATTTTTGTAATAATCAATAAGAAAAAAAGTTTTCTATGAACGTAGCATAATGGGTGCATGCTCTGCATGTTCTGAATAATAGTGGGCTCATCGCATCCATATTCTACTAGATTTTCCAACATGATTGATTGAATTGAATCTAGGAGGCTCATCTATGTTGCAGATGAGATGTTCACATTCGGCTACTCTCAGTCGCCACCATATGTTACCTACCGGGTCGTGACAAAAGAAGGCATCATGCTCGATCCTGTCCCGATAACGATACCAGAATCGGTGATGATGCACGACTTTGCAATCACTGAGAACTATGCAATCTTTATGGATCTTCCTCTTTATTTCCGCCCAAAGGTGCTTCGCGAGTTCAGAAGGCTTGCATCTCTTGAATTTCTTTGAAGAACTTGCTTGAAGAGCTCCAGTGGCAAGTGACTGTGGAATTCAAGTCAATGCTTTGTTTCCTGGTTTTGAAATGGAATCCGGCTGTCTGCTTCTGTTCGTCGCAGGAAATGGTCAAAGAAGGGAAGATCATCTTCTCATTTGACCCATCTAAGAAAGCCAAATTCGGCATTCTTCCCAGATATGCCAAGGATGAGCTCCAAATCAAGTGGTTTGAGCTTCCGAATTGCTTCATATTCCATAACGGTGATCTCTCTCTCTCTCTCTCTCTCTCTCTCTCTCTCTACATAGACAGATATATATATATATATATATATATGCATAAATATTTTATATTACTGCATTGTGTTGGTTCTTGGCCCAAATACTGTGGATGGATGTTTTCTGAGCTGGGGGTTCATCTCCAACATTATCCATTTGTTCCTTTCTGGC